CCCTATGAGGTGATGGGAAGAGATAGGAACAGAAGTGGCTACTGGAAGAACTTGGAGAAGGCTCTGGAAAGTTCTCAAAGCAATAAGTTTCAGCAAGCCAAAGGAGGCCATAGAGTACTGGGTGGAAAGTCAAGAGATAACTGAGTGTGTTTGACATGTGCTATTTGTCAGCTCCTGTGGCCCCCCCATCACCCTGCAGTGTGACACAGCCCCAATATGATCACCTGGAAATAATGTTCCCATGAGCAGACTGTGTCCAATCAGGGTCAGTTAAGGATAAGCCTAATGTCTGAAGGGCTGGTGACCCAGTTGTCCCAAGGAGGTGTGAATGTTCATCTCAGGACTCTTCTGCTAATGCCAATGCCAAGCTGGAATTTCCTTGTGCTCTCAGCTGCCCTTGTGGCTGGTTAGGATCAGGTGACACATCTGGCCAATGTACCAGAGCTGAGTGGTATGTACTATCTCCTGCCGGAGCATGGAGTGCCTGCTGGCATCCCTACCATCCTCTTCTCCTTCTGTGGTGACTTAGTGCCACCTACGTGGTTCAGAAGAGCATCCATATACATGGCAGAGTCACCATCCCAAGTACCACAAAAAGCGGTGACGGAGGCTGGGTCAAGCCCGTGGGCAAGCAGGGGTCTGAAGTGCGCAGGCATGGGGGTTTGGTGTCATGTGCTGCAGCAGCTACTGCCACTCAGCTTAACAAAACACAAATAGCATCTTCCCGATGCTCACAGATAAGGCAAGACAATTGCAGATCCAGGCCAGCAACACACCTCTTCCTGTCACAGCCCTTTGCTGCTTCCTTAGGTCGTCCCCCTCCCATAAGCAACCATGTCCGCAAACTTTTTAACCCACCCGTCCCTAAGGTGCCTAAGTGATATGTGCAAGATGAAAAGGAGGTATTCTCAGTAGGTACCCTGAGCAAGAATGGTCAAAAGCATATGTGTGTATGGGTAGGGGTAGGTGTGTGACCCAATTCCAAAGATCCTTACTGGGGCCCTGGGGGTCACAGGAAGCAGCACCACACAGTGACTGAGCAGAGAGGATGAAGAGCCAAACTGAGCTAATCTCAAATCCCAGCCCCACTGCTGACTCCATTTTTTTCAGAACCTTTTATTCCTACTTATAAAATGGGAACAGTAGCTAAAGCCCCCAGCGAAAGGAGACGAGGACAGAGTGTGGTCTACCCTGACTCATAGGAACAGTCTCACAGTGTCTGTACCACGGTCAAGATCACCTAGAGCAACAGCCTTTCTGAAGAAGAGCCGTGCACCCTGGACTGTCCCCTCACGAGCAGCCTGAGGAAGCTCCCCTAGACAGGGCAGTGGACTTAGCCCCACTCTGCAGACCTCAAACCTGGTCCAGACCACATCCAAAGAGGGACTCGGGGTCAGCTGAGGAAAATGCAACCCACAGAGCCCAAGAGCATTTATCTGAAATTTCAAAGAGTTTTAGAAGAAGAGCCCGTGGCTGGGGTGATTTTGGAAGCTGTTCCTCATGCCAGTTTCGCATGAGTGGTCTTAGTTTACTCAGTTAGGGTGGAAGGCAGAGTGGAGGGAGCAAGACTGGAAGATAATGGCTGAGGGACAAGACATCACATTGCCTATCCTGGAACAGGGACGGACTAGTATAAAAATAACCACTGAGAAGTACATTGCCCGAGTGCGGTAAGAAAGGAAGAAAATAACTGGACAACCAACCTATCCCCATTGTCTTCTACTCCTAAACTACAATGGGAAGATAACAGTGTTTGCTGTGTGCTAGCTACAGTGTCAAGTTTTTACCAGGATTATCTCACTGGGGATCAATTACAATCTGATGATGGGAGATACTGCTACCTCCATTTTATAGAAAATGGAAGACACCAGTTGAGTAACCTAAAGTCATACGATTGGCAAGCAGGATAGACAGCATTTAAACCCAGGCACTCTCGTCACCATGCAGTGCCTTTTCTAAACAGAGAGCCTGAGGCTCAGAAAGTGAAGTGACTTAGTTGAGGCCACACAGCCTCATCTATGATAGACCAGGGTTCCTAATTCCTGGTTCTCTGCGTTTTCTACTCTACCGTAACTAACCTCTAGGTGTACACACAAAACTACCACTCATGAGCCTGTTTCTGCTTACGTCCGGCCCAGAAGCCTAGGCTTGAGAGAGCAGCATAATCAGGGCCCTGCTAAAAGCCTGTCTGTGTGAGCTGCAGACCTGGGGCTCATCATCTCATTCTGTCTTTCTCTGTAGAAAAAAATCACAAGGGATCACCCCACTCCATCTGATGGAACACTGACATTACTCCAAGGTGCCAGCCTGCGGGACAGGAGGAACCCAAGCTGACATGTTTGCCTGAGAGTATCGAGTTGCAGAGCCTCTGATCAGTTGGCATCATCTGTTCCCTGGACCAAGTGCTGGGTTCTGAGCTCTCTGTGGGGTCCCAGCTGGGCTCAGACAAATGTTCCTGATTTCCCTTCTCAGTGGCTGGTGAAATGGGCCAAAAGAGCAGCCGTCTGGAAAAGGAGGGGCTGCTAAAACATGTATCCCAGCCTCAGGCCCTGGCTTTTCCCAGGGAACCCGGGCTGGACAGGCATCCAGAGAAAAACACCTGCACTGGCTGCTACAACACTCCTGTCAGGGATGGGTCACAATGTTACCCTCACTCTGCTCCCAAACAGCCCCCAGACACCAGAGTGTGGCATTGGTCCACACAAGCTGAAAGACTACCCCTGGGTGTGAATCCACAGGGTTCTAGTACCAGAGGCCAGCAAGAGGAGGTCAAACAGCCTGGAGAAGAACCCCCTGCTGGACTAGAGACAGCATGCAGCCTGGCTGTCCAGATCACCAAAAGGCTCCTCAATCTCCACAGCTATTCCAGACAGGGAAGCAGGGTTTTGGGGGAAGGGGCTCACCCAAGGCCTCACTGATAGACTGGCTGGCTAGATTTCAAATCTTCTCTTTTCCCTGTACCAGCCCCTCCCACAAATCCCCCAATCCCTTGACTCCAAACCCAACCAGCCCCAAACCTGGAGCACCGAAACATCACTTAGTAAGTAGGCTGGTGTGGAAGTTATTGCAAAGTGGGGGTCCTTTCTGGATCCATACCAAGATGTCCTATGTGCAAGCCCAGAGCTCCACTTCTACAAGGTCCCTGGAGCTTCAATGATTGATTGGCATTTTGGACTTGGGGACAGAGAAGACAAAGAAATGGACCCAGGCTTGGACTGCTGCTAAGCCAGAGACTGGGGATCTACCTGGAATCCATGAAACAGGAGTAGAGACACGAGCCTCCCTAGAGGGTGGAGAGCCTGTGTGATCTTCAGTGTTGGGGTTGAAATGAGTAAAGAGAAAAGAGAGACAGCATGCAGAATAGGCCTGCCTTAGAGTGGGGACAGGCTAATAATACTCAGGTTCCAAGGGTGAGGCTGTCCTACCAGGCTTCCAACACACACACACACACACACACACACACACACACACACACACACACACACACACACACACCAAAACAAACACTTTTGTTTTCTGGCTCCTAGAATACCTTAAGGACAAATCCAGAGACAAGGGCTTCCCCACCCTTTCCTTTGCCCCCTCAGTTCTGCCATTCCACACAGAACCCAGGCTGGAGTCTGATCCCTCTGACAGAAACTTTGTCCGGCACTAGCTGTTTCCAATAAACTCACATAGCTTCTACCCATGCTGAAGGCGGGACCCCATCTGTATCTTGGGGACTCAGGAACTAGCCCTTCCCATCACCTTTGCAGGGGTATGGGGGGCAGCTGGGACAATGAGCACACATTCCTAGCAAGGACACACGAAAACTTCCTGTCACTCTGAAGTCATGCATCTAGTAATCTCATCTGTACTCTCTTGGGGTGCAGAGAGGAGAGACAAGTTTAGAGAGAGAGAGATGAGGCTCTAGTCTCCCCTAACCCCAGAGTTCCCTCGATATGAACGGCCCTTCACACAACAAAGGTAACACTTTCCACGAACTCCGGAAGTCAGCATGTCCCTTCCCACAGGCACAACACAGGAGCCTAAGAGTATGGGAAGGAAGGCGAGTTTTCACCAGTACTTGGGACCCAGGAGATGGTATACTCTCCGTGATGGCTGGGGAGTGCGACCCTTCTGATGGAACTATAGACATTCCTAAAGAACCCCACTACCCACCCAATCAATGTACCTGTGCCCAGAAAAAGGATGCCTCCTTCCCACCACGCCCAGAGATCTACTAGGACCAGGACAAAGGGAGCCACTTTTACGAAAAGGGTTGGGTTTCAGCAACTTCAAGTAAATCCTAACCAATTGTATCCCATTGTTTCCATGCCAGCTCATTGTCCACTTAAAGTTTCTTTTGTTTTTGTTTTTCTGTAAATTGATCGTTCATCCTTGCCAGCAGCCCATGAAAAATCATCTCATGACACTGATCCATCTGATCATCGCTGAGGCACCCCAGTCTCATAGTGGGGTCCTCCGCCCGATTCGCTGGGGCAAGATGGGGCGCTCCTCCAGATAGACACCGCCAGCGTTGCAATGGTAACATCTGCGGAGCTGCAGTCTGTGAAGATCCTTGGCTAGTCTGGGAAGCCGATCCGGCCAAGGAAGTGCTCCCTCTGGCGAGGCAACTCTCCCAGCGCAAGCAGGACCCTGATCCCGCGCGCGCCCACCGCGGCCAGCCACGCTGGGAACCCGCGGCCACCACACCCCACATCCGGCCGCGGGACCCACCCGGCAGCCTCCTAGATCTCTGCATCCACGGAGGTGCACACCTTCCCGCGGAGGGAACGATAGCCCGGGTGTGGAAGCAAATCCAGGCACGCTCTCCTGACCGGCCACCAGGGTCCCACTAAGGCGACGCGCGCTCGGTGCCCCAGCACGGTCGGCAATCCGCCGCGCCCAAACCTGGTTCCAGGTCTCCCATTGAGACCTGTCCGAGCTCAGGATCACCTGAACGCACCCCTTCCCTCCCGGCACATCCCCGGCCAACACTCCGGACCCGAGAGTCCCACCTGCCGCCTTGTTGTCGCCTAAGCCCTCAGGATCTACGAGTGCAGAATGGCTACACCTGATCCGGGCAAAGTCCGCGACCCAAGGCTTGCTCGGGGTCACATGAGGAGGCACTGTGCTCGCACCCGGGGGGAATCTCAGCAGAACTTGATGGCCGCTTCCCTGATGGCCGCTTCCCTGAGCGTCCTGTGACTCACAATGGTTCAAGATCTCCCCTGGAGCGCGCAGTGTCCCGGCGCCAGTACGCACAGAGGGGCGCAGTGGTCGAGTCCTACCTGACAGAGGCCCGGCCGCGGGGGGAAAGTTTCCCCGGGCGCAGAGTGCGCTCTTAACTTGCGGGGCGCCGGCAATTCTGCACGGTAGCGCTGGACTAGGCGTCAAGGCAACGAGGAGCGGCGACGCCCGCTGGGGGCCGGGGCCGGGAGGCCTGGCGCGGCTGGGCTTCGGAATAGCTCAGCGCTGCGTCCGCCGGCAGCCTGCAACCCCTGAGACGCCAGCGGCAGCTGCAGCCGCTCGCCCGCCACCGCCGCCGGCCACACCTCCCGCCACCCTCCGGCCCGCCCTCCCGCTCCCTCCGCCCTAGCCTCCGCCCCTTGGTCTCCTGTCGCCACTACTGCTGCCGCGGTACCGGCGCGTCTCGGTGCTAACCTGGCCCTTGCCTCCTCACTGCTGCTCTCCCATGCGGTCCTAGCGCTTGGTCTCTGGAGTCTCGCTTTCCTCATGGTCCCTGCACTCGTAGCCTCCTCCCCGTGCTCGCTCGGTTTTTGAATTTAGGAGATTGCTGGAGAAGGGCGAGGGTGGCACGCCGGACTGTGGCATTTATTGCTGGGGAGCTTTCTCGATGTCACCACCCAGTCGGGTGACTGCAGGGCTAAGGAGTTGGATTCTCCATTGCGACATCGCCTTTTGGTTTCCCACTCACTGCCAGGGAAGTACCTGATGGGAGCCTGTGCAGCAGGCACAGTTACGGATCATTGCCTCTGGCCTGGTGAGCCTTTCCAACTCCCTCAGCTGTAAACCATGGCATTGCTAAGGACCAGAACTGAGGCTCTCCTCTCACCCTCTTCTCCACTGAGACAACTAACCTATGCCACACTGAGGCCCACACAAAATTCAACAAGCAGGCAGATAAGAACGACAATTTAACAGAAAGTGCCAGGAGAAGACTCAGATTACAACTCCTGTTCCCTCACTGGCAGCGATTATCAGCGCCCCAGCTTTGATGGTCTACACACTGAAAAGTCCTGTGGGGGGGGGGAAGAGAGAGAGAGAGAGAGAGAGAGAGAGAGAGAGAGAGAGAGAGAGAGAGAGAGAGAGAGAGAGAGAGAGAGAGAGAGAGAGAGAGAGAAGAGTCCACTGATCTCACTCAGTCCACCTTGGGTGTGAAAGTTGGTGAAGTCAAGATGCAAAAGAGAAAGACTTGGCCTTTCCATGCTCACAGTCCAAGAAGTAAAGTGTCTGAGGTCTAAGGTCTCAGGGCTAGTCCTTTGAACCACTTCACTGAGTCGAGAGAAGCCCAGGAGGAATTGCTAGAGTGACATGCAGCTTTGAGAACAGGTCTGGACTCCGCTCTGCAGTGGGCCAGCGTGGGTATGGAACTCAGTCAACATATAGACATCCCTCCAGCTTTTCCCAAACAGGGTCAAGGGGAGGCCACCCCTCTAGCTGAGAACACCCACAGGCCCTAAACTCAAGGCTGCTGCTGCAAAAGGCTGCCGGCATGGGCCTCCTGGGACTAGAGAGAGAGAGGCACCACAGAAACTCGGTGAGAATTAAGCATTGAGTGGGGGCCCAGGCTTGGCAAGAGGGGGAAGGGTTTGAAGCTGTAGCTCTGGTAGGAGCAGGAGGAGTGGTGTGGGGAGCACACGGCAAGCGGAGACCAGTAAGATGGCTCACTGATTAAAGGTGCCTGCCACCAGGTCTGACAACCTGAGTTCCACCCCCAGAACCAGCTTAGGAGATGAAGAAGGGTACAGCCCGACTGTACAGCTCACACCCAGCTAGGACAGTGATTCTAGCTCCAGGCCTCAGTCTCCTGCCCCCTTCAGAACATGGACCTGGCTGGGCCCCAGTGGGAGGGCTGCCTGTTAAATGGCTTTCTTCAAATCAGCACTTATTTTATATTTTGTTTTACTTAAACGAGTTTGTTTTTAAACTGTGATATGTTATACCACAGCCATAAATGGAAAAGCAGTGTCAGGTTGCTATAAATAGAAGGATATCATAAAACAAATACAGTGTGAATAAAACCGTGTCATTAAACTGCAACAATGGATCTTCAGTCACAATAAAAGAAAGTGTAACAAGATCCCACCGGCTGTTTTGCCTAAGAAGGGCTGATCACTCCCAGGCTTATTCCCCCCTGAAGACCAGTGAGGGCCAGAAACGACCTAAAGATGTATTAGCAACCAACTTGGGACACTCCCACATCAGGAAATGTGATACCTATATAGCTGAAGCAGGAAAATATTCCTTTCTCCCCCAAAATAGGGAACCCTGAAAATTTAGTCCCATGAGACGTAAGGCCACACTCTGTTGCTGTGTCAGCTGGTCCTGCCCACAAAGCCTTCTTCATCTTAATGTTTTCACATGTAAAGATGAGTAAACAACCCGAGGAATCCCTTTAACTATTCTATCAAGGGAGCAGAAAAATGTCCCCAAATTGTGGCTTATCTGGAGTTTCCAGGTAGGTAAAGGCATTTTCCAAATAGATAGAGGGGGAACGAGAGAGAGACAGCCCAGGGGTGATGTAGAAGGGACAGCCAGCCTTGACCAAGTGGAGTCTGGGTTAGCACAGACCCAGGAATGTCCTTGCTCAGAAGGTTTTGGATTCTTCATTGCCCGTTCCAAAGAAACCTTGTGGAGAATCCATTGTAGTCCATTGTCTAGATGGGGATACTGAGAGAACATGACAGGCTGAACAGATGGGGAGCCCAGTGATGACCTGGGCCTCCTGACTCCTAGGACCTCTTAACTCCCTGTTTTAGGGAGGGGATAGTGTGATAGTCAATATTGTCAGTTTGTCAGAATCCAGAATCATCTAGGTCCTAGGTCTTAGGAGATGACTCTCTGGTAATGTCTATGGGGGAGATTCTAAATTGGGTTAATTGAAGTGAGGAGATCTGTCTTCACTGTTGGTAACACCATCCCACAGGCTAGGCTCCGAGACTAATAAGAAGACAGGGAGCTGAGTGCTGGCAGCCATCTCTCCCTACTTCCTGATAGCAGAACATGACCAGATGCCACACCTTCCCCACCGAGGCTTCCTGGTGACAGACTGTCCCTTCAACTGTGAGTCAAAAATGAAGCCTGCTTCCTTACACTGCTGCTGGCTGGCTTTTGTCACAGCAACAGGAGAGTAATATAGGAAGTGAGGGAGAAATGGAACTTGAAAATTCTCACCTCTCCCCCAAGGACTTCTCCAAGGTTCTTTTCTCTAACGCCCAAGAAGAAAGGGTCCAAGATGTCCCATTGGCCTAAAAGTCTCAAGCCTGTCAGAATCAGGTGCTGGAGCTCAGCCCCTGGATGTGGGACACCTGAAGCAAGCATCTACAATGGCAGCCTGCACAAAGAGCCCTGGGTTAGAAGCTAGTAGCATGCAGCCTAGAGCGCTGCCCTCACCAGGCCGCAGTGCTCCCAACTGGAGCATGAAGCCCCACACACAGGCATGGGCTCTGGCTGGCCTGTCAGGCCCTGCTCCACTACCCTGAGAATCATGAGAACAGGCAGGAATGCCACCTCCTTGTTCCAGTTCAACTAGGTTCCTTTTTCATTGGCTCTGTGCCATGGTAAGCCACTTGAGAATTAAAAGAGCATGTGTCCTTTAAAAAGAAAGGGTTTGATAACAGGGTAAAAAATGGCCAGACAGTGAGCTTCTTACTGGAGAGTGCTGCCCTGGGTCTCCAGTACCCGAAGACATTTGCATACCAACTGTGTTGTCAGGAACCAGCCACTTAAAGGCTCTGATAGCTCTGTCTCTGTCTCTGTCTCTGTCTCTGTCTCTGTGTCTGTGTCTGTCTCTGTCTCTGTCTCTATCTCTGTCTCTCTCTGTCTCCTCCCTCTCTCTTTCCTCTCTCTTCCCCCTCTCTCTCTCTCTCTCTCTCTCTCTCTCTCTCTCTCTCTCTCTCTCTCTCTCTCTTTGTGGGGGGAGCAGGGGGTGGGGCACACATGTTCCAGCACATATATGGCTGTCATAGGACAACTTTGTGGGGTCAATTCGCTCCTGCCTTTACAAGACTCAGGGATTGAAATCAAGCAGTGAGGCTTTCTTCACTATCATTTTACTCTTGCCAAAACACCTGATCTTCCCAAACACACTGTGGTGACCACCTTCCTGGCACTGACGGTGGGGAGATTCTCAGGGAAATCTCCGGCACATGGTATACACCGTGTGAAGCTAACCCTGGAGGACACCTGACAGTGGAGGTTCACCTCACCCCTACCGCCAGGCGGTTGACCTTCCAATCTAATCTAGCTTTCCGAGGCAGTCTACACTTGAAATTTTTAATCATTGCCTCCTTTATTTTTTTTCTGAATTTTCTCCTTTTATGTGTAATTTGCAATCATTTCCCAAAACATTGACAGTTCATTAAATGTACTCTCAAGAGTGATTGCATCTGTATGCTTCCAAAGCCTCTCACAGAAATGAATCCCTGGGACCCAAGAACATCTTCTGCTTTTGGAGGGTTGTGCCCTTGCGTTTCAGGTCCTGCAGCAGCCGCCAACCCTCAACTTTCTCTCCTTCTCCCGATGCACTGCTCCACACAGCCCAGTCAAGCCTTTGAGATTTTAGCTCGAGTCCCCCTGGGCCCACTGTCTCCTCCACCCCAGGAATGCTACTGGAGAGAAGGGATATTTGAATGCACTTGTGTACACATGCACAGATGCATGCATGCACGCACACACACACACACACACACACATACACACACACACACGGTGCAGTAAAGGAGCAGAGGTCTGGAGCCTCTAATGGGAGGGGCCAGCATCCAGTTTCTTCTTGTGCTTGGTGGCTAAGCTTTCTATAAAGCAAGTCTGAGAACATCATGGGGTTACCCACCGAGGGGTGCCTCCTGCACTTCTATCCCACCTTCCCTGTCTCTTTTTTTGAGCAAATGACATGATATCAATAATAGCCATTGATGAATAGATTCCTTCTGCCCATTCCCGGGTGGTAAAGTTGGACATACTGAGGTTCAAAACCTTCATTCATCAGCTGTGTGTCTTCAGTCATGCTATTTTGCCTCTCTGTTTTTTTCATTCCTCATCTTTTAACATGAGAAGTGTCTGTGATGTTCTGGACACTGGTAAGATGTTTAACTGTCTTCCTGCTCACTTAAACCCTATGGGACAGGGGCAGTCAGGAACCCCTTTTTTTTTCAAAGGGAAACAATGGAGACCTACCAAGAGTCTCTCAGCAAGTCAAACATAGGCTTCCAAGCCTTTCTTTATTCAGGTCAAGATCACCCAGTGACTGGTTTGCGCATTCCTCTGAGTCAATGAAAGATACATGTGGGAAAACTAAATGACCCCAAAGGAACTACATGGGGACTCAGAGAACTAGGGATTAGGTGTTGGGGTGGGAACAAAACCAGTCATCACTGGTCATGTCATGGAAGACTGCTCAGGCACTGGGTGTCTGGCAGCAGCTGGGAGCATAGCAGGCCACCTGGGTTCTGGTATAGGTTCCTCCATGGCCACAGCAACACAGCTAAGTTCCACACAGGCTCCTCCAGCAGGAAGGACTCTATTTCTACCCTGGTTGTCCAGGCAGCTCAGACTGGAGTCTCTCTCCACCTCAATCCAGCCGCTCCCCCTTGTGTTACTTGTTACACTGTGTCCCCTAAAGCCACATTGGAGTCCTTAATCTTGGTCCTAGGGACTGGGTCTTATTTAGAAAGTCTCTACAGATGGTGAAGTTTAGATAAGGCCCTAACCCAGTGTCCCTGTCAAAAGAGGAGTGATGGACACAGAGACAGACATATGACAGCAAACCAAGGGACACCTAGGACAGCTGTCTACCAGGGACCAGTCAGAGCCATCCAAGGGAGGTGAAACCTGAGGTGACAACTGTCTGTCTTTCTGTGTCACTGGAGTAGTAGTTCTTTGCTAGAACAGTTTAAGCAAGCACCATGCCCACACCCACTGAGCCGATACACACATGCCCACACCCACTGAGCCACTACACCCCATACACACTGAACCACTACACACACACACACACACACTGAGCCACTACACCCCACACACAGCCAGAGTCTCTATACCCTCCCCACACCCACTGAGACTCTACATGCCCCTCCCCACACCCACTGAGACTCTACATGCCCCTCCCCACACCCACTGAGACTCTACATGCCTCTCCACACCCACTGAGACTCTACATGCCTCTCCCCACACCCACTGAGACTCTACATGCCCCTCTACACTTCTAGGTAACAAGACTCAAGAGAAACATCCATGCGGGCCTCACTGAGTCTGTGTCAGGGTAACTGGAACAGAGGTACAAACCAACCAGAACCCAGAGCCACCTCCAGCCCTGGAAATGGTTATCTCCCACCAGGTTGCAGTGCCAGGGGTTTGGCCAAGGAAGTGCTGAAAGAATCACAGCCATAATCCCCATTCCATCAGAGGGTGGAGTCACCAGACAATGCTTCTAGCTAAACAGCAGAGCTAGGATTTACCCTGGACCCTGGTGCACCTGGTCACTTTTCTTTGCTGCCTGCAACTGGTGTTATTGCCTCAGCCTCTGCCCTGCTCCAGAGAGGCTCACAAATGTGAGGAGAAATCCAGCCCCACTCTGGTGGGTACTGGGGACTGAGTCACACTGTGGAGTTCACGGAGTCCCTGGATGGGGAAGCCAGGGTGACAGGCTTCCCTAGTGTATGTGTACGCTTACATATATGCACGTTCATATCTAGGCACAAGTGCCTCCCCGTGTGATGGTTCAAGTCTGTGTGTTGTGTATCTGGGCACCTCTATGTCCCTAAGTGTTGGTACACCTAAATGGATGTCTGTGTACATGTCTAAACACATATGTGTTCAAGTGTGGTGATGCTAGTCTGTGTATGTATACATCCCGCCTAATGACATCTTTGTTTGCCAGAAAGAGGTAGATTCTTCTACTAAGTGAATACTCTGATCTTGCCCGACTCAGTCAATGGTAACAGCAGGTTCACAAGCCAATTGTGGAACCTCCAGAGATGCTCACCTTGGACATTCTTGTCCAGCAACCAGCTTTGCTTTGACGGGCATGCTTGTCACAGTGCAGCCTGTGGTCTGACCCCTCCACTGTGGTCTGCCAAATAGGATAGAAGATCACATGGGAAGAAAAACAAGGGGTGAGGCTCCAGGTGGAGGAGAACAAGCAGAGATTGTTTAGTAACAGACCAACCATGATTCTGACCGGAAGAGGAGTGGCCCAGGTCAAAGTGGGTAAGCGGCTTGGCTAAGTTTGCCTCTCATGGACAGCAGGCCAAGGGCTGCACCCTTAGTTGCAAATGGCCGCTTCAGCCCTAGTTTTCATTACTACTTGTTTTTCCTCCAGCTCTGCAACCGATTCCCTACTTCTCATCACAAACATGTAAAGCTCTAATAAACTGGAGACAGGCTTCTGTCTGGCCGCTCCTCAGCGAAGGAGGAGCAGGAGCCAATTACAAGGTGGATAAGCGTCCCCGTGAGAGCTCCTTGCAGATGCCGACCCAGAGTAAACAGCTGAGCTCAATAAAGCTTCACAGAATGTTTGCTTAGTGCCTTGGTTTTTAAGATTCCAGCCTTTCTGTGAGACCCTGAGACCCTTCAGTGACAGCACAGCACGCCGAAGCTCATATCTGCGCATGCATGAACCAGCTGCTTGGCAACAGCTTCATTCCAAGGTCCATTCACAGTGCTTGGCTCCTAGAAGGGACTCAAAAGAACATTTAGTGAATAAAACCAGAAAACAAGTGGGACTGAAGATGTCACTCAGTTGGGAAAGTGCTTGCCTAGCAGGCAGGGGCCCCTGGATTCAATCCCAGCCTAAATCAAGCATGGTGGTGCATGCCTGTAATTCAGGAGGTAGAGGCAGGGAGAACAAAAGTTCCAGGTCTTGACTATAGGGAGTTGGAGGCCAGACTGGGCTACATGAGACCCTGCCTGAAATAAAAATCAAAACAAAGCAAATGATCAATAAATACTAACATTAGCAAAATTGTATTAAGAGGTTACAAGCTTTAAAGTTGGTGGGGACCAAATAGCATATACTATCCACAAACAATGTTCTACATGCAGCTGATATCAAAGCCAGCAGGCTACATACTAAGGCTCAAACTCAAGACTTAAGTCCATTAGAGTGGACTTAGGGGTACAGTTTAGCAGCAGCGCTCTTGTCTGACATGCATAAGGCCCTGGGTTTGCTCTCCTTTGCTGGAAAAAAAATACCTGGGTGTGTAGAGGAGTGGATGGATGGGTAGATGAGTGGATGCCTGGGTAGATGCGTGGATGGTCAGGTGTGTAGACGGGTGAGTGGGTGGTTAGGTTGTGGCCAGATTGGTGAACAGATTGAGGGATGAGTGGTAGGTGGGTAGGTGGATGGGTTCATGGATGTGTGCATGCATGGTTTAGTGATACACTGATAGAAGAGTGGGTGGATGAATTGGTAGATGAACTGAATGGATGGATGGATAATGGATAATGTGGTTTGATGAGTCTATGGGTGGATTGGATAACTAGGTGGATCGGTAGGTGGGGATGGAAGATAGATAAATGGGTGGATAAAGGCAGATAAGTGGATGGTAGGTGGATGTCTTTGTTCCTTGGCTCTTTCTGTCAGCCTTCCTATGTCTGTCTCTCTCTTTGTGTTTCTGTCTCTGACTTTCTGACTCTGTCTATCTCTCCTTGTCTCTTTGTCTTTTGGTGTGTCTGTCTGTCTATCTCCATGTCTGTCTGCCTTTTTCTCTAACTCTCTGTCTCTGTCTCTCTGAGTCAGCTTCTATCTGTCTGCCTCTACCTCTCTTTCCTTTCTCCATTTTTGTTCCCTTCCTCATATCTCTTTCTCCTAACTTCCCTCTCCTCTCTTTCCTGGCTTTCAGAAAAGGGCTGGGACCTGGAGACCCTATAATGCATAAATTATGAGGCCATTGTATCATTCCTGAGCCAGAGTCTGTCACATGGTTGATCCCCTTTTCCAATACACAGTGGTTGTGGGACCTGCAGATCTCTGTGGCCTGGTTCTTTTCTACATGCAGCTGCCAGAAGATAGGATGTTTGCCACAATTACAGTGGTTTTCAGAGACCAAGAAAGAAGTCTAGTGTTGATGGTATGACCCAGTCCCAGTCAGGATGCAAAACATCTCTGGGGATCCTGGGACTTGGGCATCTAAACAGGTTTGCCTCCTCCCCACCTGCCATAACCTGGAGAGGGCCACGCTTCCCAAGGGACTTGTCTGGTTGCTTCTTTGAAAAGGTGTTAGACCCATGACAAGCTCATCCTATTGGACCCATAACCAGGATGAAATTAGCCAGGTATAGAAGGGGCCTGGGGCAAAGTGCAGGACTTTCACTAATACACATTCAATTCGACATTGCCCTGATTTGAGAAGCTCAGATAACAGTGCAGAGGACTCTGGACAACCCGATCTCCTGTGTCATGGACAAATGGAAGGCTTCCAGAGCAGAGAATAACAGGGGATTTTAGAGGTCCGAAGGGACAGGGTGGAGATGACTGGCATTTAAGGCAGTGAGACAGTTTGTGGAAAGGTCCTGGTTGAAGAAGGTGTAATATGGCGATTATAACTGCTTTGGAAGCTATAACCCTAGTGCCTACTACATCATCTGGCAAAATGGGTGGTAAACAAATGTTTTGTGAATGAATGAACAAGTGAATGAGATTTTGGAGACTCCATGGAGGCCAGAGATCCACAGTCAATAAATGGTTGTGCAAGAAAAGCTGGAAGAGGAAGGTCACTGTTCTGAAGGCTGTGCAGTTCAAGAATCTGGTGCTGGTGTCTGGCCTTCGTGCTATGCCATCTGCACTGGAAAGGAGTGGAGATAAAAGATTTGGGTAGTGAACAGGAGGCCAGCTCTGTTTCAGACCTTCAGATAACAATCATCAAATACCTAGCTACACCTTTAAATGGCATACACTGACCGTGCATATTTCTGGGGTACCATGTGATCATCTGAAACCCAATGCAATCTGTCCTAATCTGATCATGTGATTGGCATTTTTAAGGCTATGCTAGGGTCTTTTGTAATAATATCCATCCTACCACTCGTGGGGAAGGGCTTTCATGACTTAATATGTTTCATGGGCCCTCCTATTTTAGTGCTGCGGCCTTTGGAACTGAGGTTCTACACAGGCAGGGTATGCAAATACACACCTGTGATTCCAGCATCTGGGAGGTGGAAACAGGAAGATGGAGAATTGGAGGCTAGCCTGGGCTACAGAGAGAGATCCTTTCAAAAAAAAAATCTTCTATCACAGGAATTTTGAGGGAATCCGAGCCCCAGCAAGCAGGCTTCCTTCCTCCTCTCAAGAAAAAAACTCTGGGGCATGGTGGCTTGGCCACTCAGGGTTTTGTGTGTTTGCTTTTGGTGTGTTGGCTTTGAAGAGCATGCTGGCTGGCGGGGATGCTTCCGTTGGTAGAGAGCTTGTGTTAAGACTCCAGCTCGATTCTGGAGGACAATCACTGCAGTTTGCAATGTGCCTCTGTACAATTCAAGACTTACAGGAAAGGAGACAGGTTATTTCAGGAGAAATGCAAAGGGGCTTGGAGGTATGCCAGACCTCATCTGTGCCCTGGCTTTGAGTAGGCATAGTCTGAGGAGAGGCAGCTGGATGGCTGTGCCGTTTACGAGTCATGTACACAGTATTAACCTCACCCACCGTCCTAATGCTGGCGGTTTTGGGGGTCATGTGCCTTGCTTGGCAGACACCCAGGTAGATTGAGAGCTTCCAGTCTCACTGTTTCTGCTGCCTTTCAACTGCCAGTGTCTGGAATCTCCACCTCCATCCACCTCACTGGCCTAGGCTGGATTTCATCCCCAGCACATTATACACCAGGCATGGTGGTACACACCTCTAAGCCTAGCACTAGGGATGTGGAGGCCAGAGGTTCAAAAGCTTAAGGTCATCCTTAGCTTCAGAGGGAGTCAGAAACCAGCCCCGAACCTGTCTTAAACAAACCAACAAAAATACCACCATCAGTGGGAGGCATGATGGTATAACTTGAATAAACCTGTGCTCTGACACAACCAAAGTTACTCTTGTCCATCCCCAAAGTGCCACTCCAATTCTTGCATTTCAACTCACAACACCAAGCCACTGCTCCTCCGTCTGCATCAAATTCCTAGATACAATTCCAACATCTGCTGTCACTGGGTGCTCTGCTCAGAGTGGACAGAGACTGGCCGAGCTGTGGTGTGGCCCAATGTGTTGATGACAGGGAGAGATGACATCTACTGTAGCTTGAGATGGGCCACAGGAAGCACTCAACTCTTCACAGTCCTGCTAAGCCTCAACTAGAAGACTGAAGCAAGGGCTGTCTTACTCCTGCTGTATCACCAGGGTAACTGAGACTCAGCTCCATGCCCTGGCCCCTTGAGATGCCACAGATATCCCAGTTCTGATCAAGTTCTGGCTCCCCTGAGCCTGGGTTGCCTCTATCAGATGCTGTCTTCTTCACTCAGTCTCCTTCTCTGAGTCCTTGCTTCCTGTGACAGACAAAGTTGACAAAGAGTTTCAGCAGATTCAGTTTAAGTGTCATCCAAGAATGTCAGGACCAATGCAAGCCTGAGCCAATCCAGAGAGCTGAGACTTCCTGTCATAGGAGGGACAGTGTGCTCACTCACTTGCTATCTGATAGGAGACTCAGGCAGCAATCTTGAGCCTGGAAGTGTGTGGGGCTCCTCCAGCCTGCCTCCATCTCTGGGTGCTATGCAAAGAAAAGTTCTGATTCCAAGAAGCCCAAATGGACAAGATGGTTCATTTTCTTTTGAGGGTGTGGGGTGGGGTGGGCAAGATAAATCTTCAACCGCCTAGTGAAAGCTTTAAATGAGATTTTGTAATAAGCTTTCTTGTTAGACTATCTTTGGACTGCCAGCCTGCAAATAATGCCCTAGAGACTTATTATTAATTATGAAAGCTTGGCCTTAGCTTAGGCTTTTTCCCAACTAGCACTTATAACTTAATTAATCTATATTTTTAATCTACATTCTGCCACATGACTTGGTTATCTCTTCTTAGTGCACCAGATCTGACTTGATCCGAGTCTGCTGCTGACTCCTCTTTTCTTCTTCCCTGAGTTCTCTCTCAGCCTGGAAGTCATACCTATACATCCTGCCTAGTTATTGGTAATTCAGCTTTTTATTACACCAATCACAGCAGTACCTCTTACACAATGTACAAATATCCCACAATATTTCCACCTTTTGTCTAAATAAAAAAGAAAGGTTTTAACTGTAATGCTATAAACTTATATACAGTAAGAACAATTATCAAGTAAGAAATACATTCACAATGTCCAGTCTATTTGTATTTGACAAATTTGGAGAAATTACTTTATTATATGTCTTATCTTGATGAGTCCAGTTTTATAACTAAACCATTTTTATCATAACTTGTATTGCTATTCTAAAAATATCTTTTTAGACCTTAAAACATCTTCTTAGATAAACAACTTAAGCTTTTGAGATTCTCAACCTTATAAACTTTACATATCTTATGTAAGTTTCTTTTCTGAATTTGGTAACAAGAAAAACTGGAAAACTAACTATCTCATCTTCAACTTCATCGGAGATCTAAGAACAATATATATAATATTACCTGAGTAAACAGGAAGTACAGAGCAAGTAATTTCTAGAACTATAGAAATGACAGAAACAGCTGGATGTCTGGACAATCACCCAAGGTTCCTCTGCAACATTGGGACATCCATCTTCAGCCTACAGGTCTAGAATATCTGACAAACTTTTCTGTGAAGCAGGAATTTTGAAGGACTGCCCTACCTTGTTTGGAAAAGTTCAGCAGTCACCTTCTTTTGTGTCCTGCTCATTCAGTTTGGACAATATATGGTCAGCAATCGAGGCAAGGACACTTTCTTGCCCAGATAGCTAGCTTTGCCACATTGAAATTAGACTCCACATGGAGGTTCTTCAGTACCCATCATTCTTTCTGAAGTAAATTGGTGCTGCAAGGAGCAGATGATGTGTCTCATTGTCATGAAAAGCCTTGTGTTATTAAAACATCTTAAATGTCATATCCTGACTCCAGCGAGCCCAGCTTCAGGTGAGCTTGGGTCTCTGGGGGGGGGGACACTCCCCATCCTCCGCCCAACACCCATTCCCTCGATCTCCCAGGGCCCACTCCTTGGCATCCAGAAGACCTGCCCACACAAGAAAGACATAAGCCCTTCCAGGCCCCAAACTCCAGTGAGCCCACCTTCTGGTGAGCTTGCATCTCCAGGGGGACATTCCCCATCCCCTGCCCAACACCCATCCACTCAAGCTTCAGGGGGGCGCTCCTGGTATCCAGAAGACCCACCCTCACAGGAAAGACATCAGTGTTTCCAGGCCCCAAACTCTGGCGAGCCCAGCTTTAGCCCTTCCAGACCCCATACTCTGGTGAGCCCAGCTTCAGCCCTTCCAGGCCCCAACCTCTGGCGACCCCAGAGTCAGCTTCAGAAAGGAAGGAGACCAGTGGAGATGGAATGACCCCACCAGCACCCACTGGAAGAAGAGATGGGAAGAAGACAGAATAAGAGCTCACTCAGCAATAGAAAGACCAACATGACTCTACCGGAATCCAGGGAACCAACACCAGCAAGACCTGAAAAGCACTACATAGATGAAGCAGAGGAGACAGACCTTAAAAATTATTTTATGAAGATGATAGAGACCCTCAAAGAAGAAACGAGGAAATCCCTTAAAGAAATAGAAGAAAAAACAAACAAAAAAATCCATGAAATGGGGGAAAAATTCAAGAAATAAATCTCTCAAAGAGTCTAAAGAGTACCAAGAAAAAACAACCAAACAAATGAAGGAAACAACTCAAACAGTTGAAGGATTGAAAGCTGAAATAGAAACAATAAAGAAAACATAGAATGAGGGGATACTGGAAATAGAAAAGCTAGGCAAACGATCAGGAACTACAGATTCAAGTATCACCAATAGAATACAAGAGATAGAAGAGAGAATCTCAGGTGATGAAGAGATTACTCATTAGAGGATATACAGTCGTCAACCAAAGAAAATCTCAAAACCAACAAATCCCTAACACAAAATAGCCAGGAAATATGGGACACCGTGAAGAAGCCAAACCTGAGAATAATAGGTATACAAGAAGGCGAAGAAATACAGCTCAAAGGTACAGAAAACATATTCAACAAAATCATAGAGGAAGACTTCCCTAACATAAAGAAGGATATGCCTATGAAAATACAAGAATCTTACAGAACACCAAATAGGCTGGACCAGAAAAAGAAGTCACCTCGCCATATAATAATCAAAACATCAAACCTACAGAATAAAGAGAAAATATTAAGAGCAGCTAAAGAAAAAGGCCAAGTAACATATAAAGGCAGACCTATCCAAATTACACCTGACTTCTCAATGGAAAAGATGAAAGCCAGAAGATCCTGGACAGATGTCCTACAAACGCTAAGGGAACAAGGATGCCAGCCCAGACTACTATATCCAGCAAAGCTTTCAATTACCATAGACGGAGAAAACAAAATATTCCATGACAAAGCCAGATTTAAACAATACGCATCCATGAATCCAGCTCTACAGAAAGTGCTAGAAGGAAAACCTAGATCCAAGTAAGATAACTACACTCACAAAGACACAGGCAATATATAATCCCACTTTACAAAACACCAAAAGAAAAAGGGAGGAGAAACTACACAAAATAACTTCACTACAAATAAATCAAGCACAAACAAGAATCATCAATCAATGGTCATTAATATCCCTCAATGCCAACGGCCTCAACTTGCCTATAAAAAGACACAGACTAGCAGAATGGATACGAAGACAGAACCCATCCTTCTGCTGCATACAAGAAACACATCCCACCATCAAAGACAGATGTTATCTCAGAGTAAAGGGTTGGGAAAAGATTTTCCAATCAAACGGACCCAAGAAACAAGCGGGTGTAGCAATCCTAATAGCTAACAAACTAGACTTCAAATTAAAATCAATCAAAAGAGATGAAGAAGGACACTTCATATTCATCAAAGGAAAAGTCAATCAAGATGAAGTCTCAATTTTAAACATCTATGCCCCAAATACAAAGGCACCTACATTCACGAAAGAAACATTACTAAAGGTCAAATTGCACATAAAATCTCACACACTAATAGTAGGAGACTTCAACACTCCGCTCTCACTGCTAGACAGGACCTCCAGACAGAAACTTAGCAAAGAAACAAAAGAACTAATAGAAGTTTTGACCCAACTGGGTTTCACAGACATCTATAGAACATTCCACCCAAACACAAAAGGATATACCTTCTTCTCAGCATCACATGGAACCTTCTCTAAAATTGACCACATAATAGGAAACATAGCAAATCTCCACAGATACAAAAAAAAATGGAATAACCCCCTGTATCTTATCAGACCACCATGCATTAAAATTAGAATTCAACAATAACACAAATCGCAGAAACCCTACAAACTCATGGAAATTAAACAATGCACAATTGCACCATCCCTGGGTAAAGGAAGAAATAAAAAAGAAATTAAAGACTTCCTGGAATTCAATGAGAATGAGGACACAACATACACAAACTTATTGGACACTTTGAAAGCAGTGCTGAGAGGAAAGTTCATAGCACTAAGTGCCCACATGAAGAAACTGGAGAACAGTCATACTAGAGTATTAATAGCACAGCTGAATGTTCTAGAACAAAAAGAAGCAAACTCACCCAGGAGGAGCAGACGCCAGGAAATAATCAAATTGTGGGCTGAAATCAATCAAGTAGAAACCAGGAGAACATTGAGAAGAATCAATGAAACAAAGAGTTGGTTCTTTGAGAAAATCAACAAAATAGACAAACCTCTGTCCAAACTAACCAAAAGACAGAAGAGAGAGCATGCTAATTAACAAAATCCGAAATGAAAAAGGGGACATAACAACGGACTCTGAGGAAATCCAGAGAATCATCAGGGCACACTTTGAAAATCTGTACTCCACAAAATTTGAAAATTTAAAGGAAATGGACAATTTCCTGGATAGATATCACTTGCCAAAACTAAATCAAGAGCAGATAAACAATCTAAACAGACCTATAACCCCTAATGAAATAGAAGCAGTCATCAAAAGTCTCCCAAACAAAAAAGCGCAGGCACAGATGGCTTCAGTGCAGAATTCTACCAGAAATTCAAAGAAGAGCTAATTCCAATACTCCTCAAAGTATTCCACACAACAGAAGCAGGAGGCTCACTGCCAAACTCTTTTTACGAGGCTACAATTACCTTGATACCCAAGCCACACAAAGACACAACTAAGAAAGAGAACTATAGACCAATTTCCCTCATGAACATCAATGCTAAAATATTCAATAAAATACTAGCAAACCGGATTCAAGAACACATCAGAAAAATCATCCCCCATGATCAAGTAGGCTTCATCCCAGGAATGTAGGGATGATTCAACATCAGAAAATCTATCAATGTAATCCACCATATTAACAATCTGCGAAGAAAAACCACATGATCATCTCACTAGATGCTGAAAAAGCCTTTGACAAAATCCAGCACCCCTTCATGATAAAGGTCCTAGAGAGATCAGGGATAACAGGAGCATACCTGAATATAATAAAAGCAATATACAGTAAACCAACAGCTAACATCAAACTAAATGGAGAGAAACTCAACGCAATTCCTCTAAAATCAGGAACAAGACAAGGCTGTCCACTCTCTCCATATCTCTTCAATATTGTACTTGAAGTTCTAGCTACAGCAATAAGACAACAAAAGGAGATCAAGGGGATACAAATAGGAAAAGAAGAAGTCAAACTTTCACTATTTGCAGATGATATGATAGTTTACATAAGTGACCTGAAAAACTCCTCAAGGGAACTCCTAGAACTGATAAACACCTTCAGCAAAGTGGCAGGATACAAGGTAAACTCAAAAAAATCAGTGGCCCTATTATATACAGATGATGAAGTGACTGAGAAAGAAATAAAAAAAACCACCCTTTACAATAGCCATAAACAGCATCAAATATCTGGGAATAATGTAAACCAAGGAAGTGAAAGACCTGTAAATCAAGAACTTTGAGTCTTTAAAGAAAGAAATCAAAGAAGATAACAGAAAATGGAAAGATCTCCCATGCTCTTGGATTGGTAGGATCAACAAAATAAAAATGGCAATCTTGCCAAAAGCAATCTACAGATTCAATGCAATCCCTATCAAAATTCCCGGCACAATTCTTCAAGGACCTGGAAAGAACAATAATCAACTTTGCATGGAGAAACAAAAGGCCCAGGATAGCCAAAACAACCCTATACAATAAAGGAACTTCAGGAGGCATCACCATACCTGACTTCAAGCTCTATTATAGAGCTATAGTCCTGAAAACAGTTTGGTATTGGCACAAAAATAGGCAGGGAGACCAATGGAACCGAATTGAAAACCCTGATTTTAACCCAGACACCTATGAACACTTGATTTTTGACAAAGAAGCTAACACTATACAATGGAAAAAAGAAAGCATCTTCAACAAATGGTGCTGGCATAACTGGGTAGTGGTATGCAGAAGACTGCAGATAGATCCATGTTTATTACCTTGTACAATACTTAAGTCCAAATGGATCAAAGATCTCAACATAAATCCAGCCACACTAAAACTTTTAGAAGAGAAACTGGGAGACACTCTTCAACGAGTTGGTACAGGAGACCACCTCCTGAACATACACCAGTGGCACAGACACTGAGATAGATAATTAACAAATGGGACCTCCTGGCTGGGCGTTGGTGGTGCCCGCCTTTAATCCCAGCACTTGGGAGGCAGAGGCAGGCGAATCTCTGTAAGTTCGAGGCCAGCCTGGTCTACAGAGTGAGTTCCAGGACAGCCTCCAAAGCCATAGAGAAACCTTGTCTCGAAAAACCAAAAAAACAAAAACAAAAACAAAAACAACAACAACAACAAAAAAAAACAAAAAACAAAAAAAACAAATGGGACCTCCTGAAACTAAAAAGCTTCTGTAAGGAAAAAGACAGTCAACAAGACAAAAAGGCAGTCCACAGAATGGGAAAAGATATTCACTAACCCCACATCTGACAGAGGGCTAATCTCCAAAATTTACAAAGAACTCAAGAAGCAAGTCTCCAAAACACCAAAGGATCCAATTAAAAGGTGGGGTACAGAACTAAATAGAGAATTCTCAATAAAGGAGGCTAAAATGGCCAAGAGACACTTAAGAAAGTGCTCAACATCCTTAGCCATCAGGGAAATGCAAATCAAAACAACTTTGAGATAATATCTTTTCCTGTCAAAATGGCTAAAATCAAAAACACCGAAGACAATTTATGCTGGAGAGGATGTGGAGAGAGGGGAACACTCCTCCACTGCTGGTGGAAGTGTCAACTCGTACAGCCACTTTGGAAATCAGTATGGAGATTCCTCAGGAAAATGGGAATCAATCTACCACAAGACCCAGCAAGTCCACTCTTAGGCATATATCCAAATGAGGCAAATTCATACAACAAGGGCATCTGCTCCACTATGTTCATAGGAGCATTATTTGTAATAGCCAGAACCTGGAAGCAACCTAGATGCCCCTCAACTGAAGAGTGGATAGAGAAAATGTGGTACATTTACTCAATGGATTATTACTCAGCAGAAAAAAAACCAATGGAATCTTGAAATTCCCAGGTAAATGGATAGCACTGGAAGAAACCATCCTGAGTGAGGTAACCCAGTCACAAAAAGACAAACATGGCATGTACTCACTAATATATGGATTTTAGACATGGATCAGGATAGTGCCAGTCTGCACTTCCACTGACAGAGAGTCTGGGAAACAAGAAAGTATCTAAAAGATATGCATGTTACCCAAGAGAAGAGGAATGAGGCAAGATTCTCTGAACAGATGGGGAACACGGCAAGGGTTGGAGGGGAGTGGGAGCTGGGAAGAAGAGAGGGGGAGAAGAGGAAGAGAGAGTAGGTCACGGGTGAACAGGAAGGTTGAGTGGGGGGTAGAATAGGGGGAAGAGGGAATCATAGGTTAGAAGACAGATCAGGTACCAGTGTGACCTCTAGTGATCTAAAGGGATGACACTAATTGGCAAGCTAAGCAATAGTGGAGAGACCACCTCGAATGCCCATTCCTGATAATGAACTTGATGTCTATAACCATCCTGGAGCCTTCATCCAGTGACTGATGGAAGCAGAGGCAAACACCCACAGTTAAACACTGAACTGAACCCAAGGAACCCAGTGACAGAGAGAGAGGTGCGATGAGCAAATTGGCAAAGAATGGGCTGGCAAAAACAGCAGAGACAGCTGATCTGAACAGGGGGAGAGCTCTTGGACCCCAGACCGACAGCTGGGAGGCCAGCATGGGACTGATCCAGACCCCCCCCGAATGTGAGTGTCAGTGAGGAGGCCTGGGCAACCTATGGGGCCCTGAGCAGTGGATCAATGTTTATCCCTGGAATAAAAAAACAGACACTGTGTGTCCATAACACAAAGAGGGATGCTCTCTCAGCCTGGTCTCTTAGGGGAGTGCCTGGACCCTACCCTTAGTGAAATGACAGACTCTAGATATCCCCTATGTGGAAGGAATTGGCAATAGGATGGGAGGCTGGGGGGAGGATGGTGGGGGGGTGCTGAAGGAGGGGCGGGAGAGGGAACTGGGATTGACATGTAAAACAAGCTATTTAAAATTAAAAGAAAAAAAACCAGAAAAAATATTATATCCTGTGGGTCTCTGAAGGGTTTGAAGACCAACTGTCTACCTGTTAGATTTTGAAAATGTATATAACATGACTACAAGTTTGATTATTATAGATGACTAGCTACTAACCTGCATTTCTTAATTAATCATTGCATTTTTAAATTAGCTGCATAAGCATAGTACCTTTAAAAAGAGTAGAAACATATATGTGTATAAGAAAAATAACCTCAAATTTGTGTCAGTATACAAAGTTTCATACCAATGTAAAATATTTGAGATTAATAGTTGTTTTTTAGTCTAAAAGCAGATTAATAGTCTACCCTTTATCCTATCATTTCTATACTATATTCCCTCTTTTTCCTTTCAGAAAGAGATCCCTGAATCTAATATTCTTTGTTAAGCTTTCTCCCTGATCATGATAAAAAAAAACAACTTGCAACCAACCCCCATAAACAATAATAAACATCCATAATCCACTGAATGACCAAGAATGTCTATGAGTGATGGCATCTCTAGGGGATCCTGAGAAAATTGGGACAATGGTCATGTCCTGGGAGAGCTAGTTATACTATTTATTTGTTTAGTCTCTGTTTGATGGAAAAGTGTAGAGTGTATCTGAAGTCTTAGCCGGAGTAGTCTGTGAGACTGGACCATCTCAGCTACCAGCTTTAAGTTGTTCTGGATGCAGAATTTCTAGGACACTCCAGCAGTTATTCTGAGAGGCTGGATAACCTTGTCTACTTGTCTGACCTTTTTTTTTTTGAAAAACACAAACTTTAAAAGGTAACATATATATCTGTATTACCACAAGTGTAGGATGTGTGGTGTGTACAAGTCAACTAAAGATGATTTTCTGTTTTATGCTTGAGTGGGTAAAAGGCGTCTGTCAACTTTATGTTTGTTTGGACTGCATAACTAAACTACAATATAATAAGTCATGAGGACTCTGTAACCAACAAGATTTATCATATCTCACCCAGTCTCAGAGCTGTTCCCATACAGAGGGATCAGAATGTATGTTACCAGTCTTGTAGCTTACTTGTTTCCTTAATGTCTGTTGCCAAAAATGTTGGGAGGCTCCCCCAATAAAACCAAATCTTCATAATTTTGAAGGAGTCCATTCCTTTGGAAACAATGACATAACCTCTTCCCCAACAAAACATAATTTCTTACTTTCATTTTGAAGTTAAGACATTCTTAAAATATATAGGGTGGTTTAATTTAATAGTTTCCATCTAATGTCTCTCAGCATTTTTGTTTGTTAGCATTTAAAAAGTTCAAAGTCATCAAAGCATCACACAAGATCCAGTCAACCTGTGTATTTCTTATATTACTTTACTCTCTTTTAAGATTTTACTTGATTATTTTTAAACTATTTATTTTTCTATGACTGTTCATTTTTTCTTTCTTTAGCATCTAAACACATTTTTTAATAAATTGTAACCTGTTAAGATGTTTTCTCAGCCTGGACCTGTCTTTTTCTTTTTCTTTTCCTTTTCCTTCCTTCCTCCTACACTCTCTTTCTCTCTGTCTCTCTTTCTGTCTCTTTCTCTCTCTCTCTCTCTCTCTCTCTCTCTCTCTCTCTCTCTCTGTGTGTGTGTATGTGTATGTGTGTGTGTCTACAACCTCCTCTGACCATGTGAGCCAAATTTCAAGTGCTAGGCTACTACCTTGAAGCTCTACTTGGCATATGGCATGCTGGTGGCTAACTCTGCCCCCCCCCTTAGTTCTGTGAGAACCTCGCATCATTTTGGTGGGTACTGGCCCCAGACCCCATTTACCAACCTCAGCTCTGGGAATTTGCTGTGTCCATCTGTGGCAGGCATTTGTAGCCAGTTCTGGCTGTTCAAGTGCTCAGTTGTACAACAGGACCTCTTAAAAGAGCTGTACCTCTGTACATGGAGTCTATACAAGAGACAGCTTTCTCTAGCCTTATGCAGATATTCGAGTCTTCGTGCTGGACAACATTTGCAGTAGTACTTTTTCAATGGAGTTGCCAGCTAGACACAGAGAGGAAACAGAAGGTGCAGATGGAAGAGAGGTCATGCCACATGGCAGAACATAGATTAATATAAATGGGTTAATTTAAGTTATAAGAACTAGTTGAGACAAGCCTAAGCTAAAGGTTAAACTTTCATAATTAATAATAAATGTCTGTGTTGCTATTTATGGACTGTCAGTCCCAATGAAAAAGTACTATGACAAGATTTTATTAGCATATATAACTCCCCATAGCAGTGGATTTCATGGTGACATTTCCATTATATGTACTTGATGGATTTTGATCATATTCACCTGCAATGACCCTCTCTTTTCCCCTCCCCTATTCACTCATTGACCCCCCTTTCCCTTCCTTTTTGACTTCTGTCTCTTTTTTTGTGTGTGACCAATGAGTTTAGCTAGAGTTGCATACATGAGTCTGGGGGAGGGGTGATTTACAGAAGCAAGAGCAATTTTCCAGTAGCCCCACACCACTAAAGAAAATATGCTGCCCTCATCCCAGCCACTGACTGCCCATGAATCCCAACTAAGAGTGAGGTCTCAGGAACTGCTCCCCTCCATGACAGAAGGTTCCTGTCTTCTACAGGGTGTGTGTGTGGGTAATCATCACAGCTGCCTGCCAGAGTTCAAGGGTGCGGCAGCATCTGCTGCTCAGAAGACAGTGTTCCACAGTGTTCCACACTGTCCTCAGGATCTTCCATTCTTCTTCCCACATTCCTTTCCACAAAGTTCCCTGAGCCTTGGAGAAGGGGTGGTTTAGATATCCTATCCTGGACTGAGCATTCAGTAGTCACTTATTCTCAGCACTTTGACCAGTTATGGGTCTTTCCAGGAACTGCTGCCCCATTGAGATAGCAAGCTCTCTCACCAAAGCTGGGAGCATACTGATCTATGGGCACACACACAAACGTTTTGAAAGGCAATTTGACATGCACATCTAGTAAAAACGACAGTGTCTTCCCCAGTAGGACCGATGAACTCCCCCAACTACCAGCTTTGTCTTGTGTAAATAGAAGCACAGAAGTAGAATGGGGTGTAACGGTTCAGTGACAGCATCTCTGAAGCAGGATCCCTCCGACTTTCTGCTTATCCATCTCTTTTGTCTGCCTCATGGTAGCAAAATGGCTGCAGCAGCTCTAAGCAGAACACGCCCAGAAATTTCCCAAAGAGAGTGATCCCCTTTCTCCTAGGGCCCTCTTTCAGAAGGGGGCAACCTTCACAAAGCATCCCATCAGATTTACCCTGGCAACCCACTGGCCAGTACTGCCGACATGAAGAGCATCATGCCCACTCCATCAGTTCGCTAATATTGCTGTGGCCAAGTACCACAGGCTGATTAACTTAAGCAGGAGAGGTTTGCTTCTCACAATTCTGGAGGCTGGAAGCCTGGGATGATGGTAGTACCAGGATCCACTGCTCTCTGTGGGGAAGGAGACATTCCCCTTCATTCATAGTCAGTGTCTTCTCCCTGCATCTTTACTGGCTCTCCCTCTGGGTGTGCCTGTGTCTTTACTTCTCTGCTCCTTTCTGTCTCCTCATCTCTTTCCTTCCTCTCCCCTCTCTTCTCTTTTGAAACATGCTCTCATGTTTCAAGCATGACCTTAAACTTAGTGTGTAGTTAAAAAACACCTTGCCTCCACCCTAACCCCTACCTCCCCCCCACCCCCAACCCCCGCTCCAGGATGGCAGACCAGCACTGCCATGCCCAGCTTCTGACCTCTGCTTCTTCAACTCTTCTCTGATGATATAAGTTCCCAGCCAAACAGCATTCTTTTAGCTTAATGCCCTCTTTAAAGGCCCAGACCCCCAAGATCAGACATTCACAGTCACATTCTGAGGAAGAGGAAGTTAAGGCTTCGATGTGAGTTTTGAGTTGCCTTGGGTCAGCTGGGATGCCTGACACCTGGTGGAAGTTCACCAAACACCATTCTCTGTGGTTTCCTACTAGGGCCTTCTCCAGCTATGAATGGAGCATGAAGCCTCAGCTCTATCCAGGAACTGTTCAAAGTGAAAGGAGGTGGAAAGATGAGGTTTCCCCACAGGCCTGGACAGCAGAGCCCTGAGGACAGGGAAAGTGTCCTCAGCAGCCACCTACTTTGCTGAGGACCAAGACAGCTGGGCCTACTCTGGTCTGCCAGGTGAGATCTCAACTAGCATAGTCACAGCTGAACCTAAGTTGGGTCACTTGGTGGTAAGATGGGCCATCCTCCAGACATGAAATAAGGCACAGTGGCTAGTGGCAACCAGGGCTACTGGGAAAAGGTTCTAGAGTAATGCTCTATCTCCAGCCATCTTCCATGCCTGTTCTGGGTCACAATAGGGGAGCTTTCTTACAACTGTTTCCAGAAAATTCCTTCTTATCCTGTTCATTTAGAAACAAAAGGCAAAGAACAGAGAAGGTGAGCCAGGCATAGAGGAAAGATCAGACACCTTCCGCGGCCTGATCGCTCAGTGGTCCAAATCTTCATTCATTCTCTCATTCACTCATTTTCTCACTGTGCAAATGTTTAAAGAGTGCCTTCGAACAGGTGCGATTGTGAGCTCCAGGGACTCACTGGTGAGGAAGCCAGGACCTGAGTGTTGGGGTGAACGGTGAGGGTCCATCCAGTCAGATAATAAAAGAAGCCCACAGAGACACAAATGTCAGTGTAGTGACGGACAAAGGGGACGTGATGATGGGGCAGAGTGAGAATGAGAAGAGAGTCTCATTGCACCTGGGATTCCAAGGCAGGCCCCTGAACAAGGCTGCTTGAAGGAGGGCACCTGCCCTGGGAGAGATTCATGTTCCCGAAAAACCTGTGTAAGACCCCAGAGACATCCAGGAGACAGTGTGGCTGGGGAAGGGAAAGCCAGGCCCTCTTGGAGGATTCACAAAAGCCTTTGACATTCTTTCTAAATAGGAAAGGAAACTCCTAGAAAGTGCCAGAAAGGAAACGAGATGGTCTGATTCAGGGCAGGGAGACTACTAGTGCTCAGAAGAATGGAACAAAAGGAACTCATTCAGGGAAGCCTTGTGTGACATCTTGGTCATACCACATGTGCCACAAGGTTTTCCCATCATTGTGACTGTTGTCACTCCTTTACCAGAAGTGGGGTTTTAGGTAGGAACCAATTGGCCCATTGTCAACTACAAGCAGATATAGAGCTATTCTGTACTTATTTGGTCCACTGCAGAATCGCTCTGACCTGAGTCCAAACCATGCCCCATCCATAGCCTTGACTTAGGTGGACACGCCTCCATGAGTCCACTCTGCACCTAGGAAAAGACAACACATGACATCCACCATGGAGGATGAAGGCACTGGGACCTTGTTTCTCAGTCTTACAATTCTAACCCATAGACTACAGCATTCAGTCTGAGGCAGGTCACTGCTTCCTTTCGGCTTGCAGACTTGGGAATCTGATAGCCATGTTGGAGAAGCCTGAGGGTTAAGAACTGGGAAGAGCATTGGGCATGGCCTTGGACACAGATACAGGGGACTGTGCTCTGCCTACAGCCCCAGAATGATCTGAATAATGGGTCCTTTCCCAGTCAAGCCTTCAGGTGAGGCCATCTGTAGCCTAGGCATGGGGACACTTGGAAGTGGAGGGTATAGGTAGGAGTGACTGGGTTCCTGACTCACAGAAGCTATTAGCCAGTGCATGTAGAGTATCTTAAACCACTGGACTTTAGAGTCATTTGTCACCCATTAGTAACAGCTTATGCATGGTGATGTGCCTAGTACCGATAATCTTTCAGACAGTGAGACACATGTCTGGCACAAAATGAGCCTCTTCCCCGTCCCTTTGGATTGGGCCCAAGTCTTCACGTATGCTAAGCAAAAGAGCTCTACCACAGAACCGCATACCCAGCCCACAAAGTGATTTCTCAATAGAATGTTTCCACATTAATCATTTCCCCTCTGAGGTGGAGGAGAATCTATGCTTCCTGAACTTAGCCTGAGTGAGGCTGGGGTTTGTTAAGAACCTGAGTTTAGAAAGTCTAGGCTTGATCACTTGGCTCTGAGGGCAGGAGTGTTCCTTCCCCAGGTCCTCCTGTTCATCCTATGCGGCACTGTGGAATGCTTTGCTCCATTCTGTGTTGCTATAATGGACTAGAGGTTGATTTCCTAGGCTGGGAGGTTCAAAGTCAAGGGGCCCATGTGTGAGGAGGACCTCCATGCTGGGGAGAAGGCAGAGGATGAGAGACAGAGAGAGAGAGAGAGAGAGAGAGAGAGAGAGAGAGAGAGAGAGAGAGAGAGAGAGAGAGAGAGAGAGGGAGGGAAGGAGGGAGGTCCTACACAAGTGCACTGGCTGACTTCTTTGGTCAGGACTCCGCGCCTCTGATCTCTCCCCCACTCCCACAGTACATGCATGAATCCAGTCCCAGGGAAGCTTACCGTATCTTATCACCCCACTGTTCCAGAAATGACATGTTCCCACAAGTTCACACACTGAACATTTGGTTTCAAGCTGGTGACATTGGTTTTGGAAGTGGTGAAGAGTTGGAAAGGTAAGACTGTTATCAAACTTGGGGGCCACAACTTGTGTCCTGAGTCAGATCTGGTCACCTGTCCTCAATAAGCCAGTCTTAAAAGGCCACTTGAAAAGAGGAGAGCAGAACAAGGACGTTTATTCAGTGCAGACACATTGGGAAGAGGGACAAAGAGATCCAGTGACCCCCTCAAGTTCACCTCCAGGGTTCTGAAGTGAAATCGGCGTTTAAATAAAGGGCTCAGGATACACGCATCTACGTAGTCCCAGCTAAGGTGTGCTCTTGCCCACCATTGGCCCATCCTTATCTGGGTTTCAGTCTCACACTGTGAGGTGAACTGTCTCTCTATCAGAGACACAAGTCCCTCTTTAGAATACCTCAGCTACCAGACCTCCCTGGAGGAAGTGGGTCACTGCAGCTTGCCTTTGAAGGTGATACCAGGTTCCTCACTCTCTGCTTCCTGTCCGTCATGTGAAGACACTCTTCAGTCACATCCCTCTGCCACTGCGATGCTCTGCCAGGTCATGGGGCCAGGAGACAGCAGCCCAAACTCTGAAACCGTGAGCCCTCATCAGCCTGGAGCTGCTCTCCCAGCTTCACAAAAGACCCACTGCTCTTTCAGAGAACTGAGTTTGCAGACAGCCAAGGTGAACTTCTAATTGCCATGTGGGAATGGCAGCCTGATAGGAAAGGGGACACCGAGGCCCCAGAGGCAGCAAGGTGCCACCTGACAAAAGCTTCTAGTGCTGCAGCCTCATGTACTCCACAGGCTTCCCGGTGCCAGCAAATGCTGCCCTCCCTTGCAGAGTAAGTCTGCAGAAAGCAGTCAGCAGTGGGGGTGCTGGGGGGCAGCTGGTCCCTTGCTCACGAAAGTCTCTAAGGCTGGAGTAAGCAAGTCCCTCATGCTCCCACCCCCACCCCAGACTCAGCCCAGTCAGCTGGGCTCCAAGACCAAGGCAGGAATGGTGGATCTCAGAAATGGAGCAACAGCTCCCAAGGCAGGAGCAGTGGGAGCCGAGACAGGGTGTCTCTGGTGTTGTCTCTAAAGGGAAGAGGTAGCTGAGCGCTGGACCCTTGCCAGGATCCAGACTGACAAAAATGCTGTGTGGTCCCACATTATATAGAGTCCAGTGGACTTTGATTGGCTGGGTGTGTGTGCATGCAAATAAAATGTACAATAGCATTAATCAACTGAGAGATGCCAAAACTGGGTAAGACAAAGCCTCTCAAAACCTTTTTCTTTAAAAAAAATTTTAACATATAATTATCATTTAAATTATGCACAGGTGTGTGTGTGTGTGTGTGTGTGTGTGTGTGTGTGCATTTGCATGCAAGTCTGTTGTGCAGGGGAGTTTGGGCTTGGTTTTTTGGCTGCAGGGACCAACATCATGGTTACCTTGTGCCACTCGGGGCAGTCTTGTCATTTCAGTAGGCTAAGTGCAGCCAGCTGCTGTCTGCTCCTTCCTGTCCCCGAAGTCCCATTGCCTGATCTGGCTGTTCAGGCTGCTGCTGGGAGCCCTTTTGCTGCTGCCGTCAGCCAGGATCACCATCGGGGCCATCTCTTACCCTTCCCACCACCTCCTACAGACTGCTGAAGTGGGGGCTACATTTTGAATTCATGAATTTTAGAGTCCCCAGTTAAAAGCAGGAATGCTCCTAGGCCAGTTGCGCTCCAACTTCACGCACAGGAGACCTTGGGATATATAATTTGTCTCCCCATTCCTGGTCTTTTCAGAAGCCCAGGCTCCAGAAACCCTCCATGTCCCCTCCTCCCTCCTGGAGTCTGGGAATGGTTAGTCAGCCAGAGGCTCTTGTGGATGGCTGGACCAGTCCTGTGCACAGCCTGTCTGTGCTGAGGTGCCCATGCTGGCTGTGGCGCCTGGTCTGTGGAGTCAGAGCATGTCCTGCACTTTGCCTGTTCAGCCCCATCCCCACACAAGTTGTGAGTCATCCTTCGCAGAAGCATGCGACCATGGCTGCTACTCTGGAGGAGGCCAGGAGTCAGCTGCCTCCATTAAGTCAGTCCACTGTCTCAGAGGCAGGATATGCCACCGCAGGGTTACTTTCTAGCCTCCCCAAAATGCGGGTATAAATGGGGACCAGTGTCTCGCCCTCTGCCTATGACACCTGGTCTCTCCCACTGCTCTCTGGTCTTGCCCTCTCCTGACCCTTTTCCCCCGCCTGCACATGGCTTCATTTCTCTCTCTACCTGCTGTCATGGCTTCAAGGACACTGGCTTTCCCCACTTCTCAGCCTCCTGCTTTCCTACTGTGTGTCTGCCCAGTCACCTCCAGCCACCCGTTCCCCCAAGATGAAAGTCTGTTCCCTAGCATTCCCAAGATTCC